AGAGCAAACTTGGAAATCTCCTCCTCAAACCTACAAGTCACTATACATATTTTGGCTTATCACACCAACAACAAGAGCAATACTACTCAACGATTGCTACAACCATCTATGATTCATTACACGTCATCGCTCCTTAGTTACTGGGCCGATATTACCACATAGCATATCTCTACAACCCTCTATGATTCATTACATGACATCACTCATACTACCACATGACATATCTCTACCAACTAGAGGCCTAGGAGCATGAACGATAGCTCTAAAAGCTCCGACGAACCTCTATGATTCATTACATGTCATCGCTCTTTAGTTACCCACAAGATTGGTTAAGTTAACATAATTTGTCTATGACATAATTTGTCTATGACATAATTTGTCTATAGGGGTACTCTGACCTTGGACCTCCTTTTACTTCCTATAGGCTACGAACCTAAGAGATGGTTCTATGGGATTCTCTTACGTCGACTACAGTTACCAAGCCTGGTAAGTCATGGAAAGTCTTGGAAAATGAGAGAACTACACTCCTTTAGCATAAATAGGATTGCCCTTTCCTTAAGAAAGGGCAAGCAGACAATACAGTAAATCGACTATCACATACTTCCACGTCTTTTCCAAGCTTCCAAGCATTCATCTTGTTACTCCTTGTTTCTGAAAAGTCAGTGAGGTGTTAACCTCTGACTTACCCTGAGTTCCCAGACTCAACATTTGTTGCAACTTGTCTGAACCACTTCACTACATCACACACCTGATTGCTGCGTTGTGGAATAGTCTAAGCTACAACCCTTTGGCTCTGTTTCCTAAGACAGTGTGTTGTCTTAGTAAAATCATCCCTCCCTTGGGTGGCTAGATTCTCACATCTGGTGCACCCACCATTACAACTAGGAGGACTTGTAGTTCACCATGTGAACCTACGGCTTCGCATTACCTCACCAAACATGCTTTAGTCAGCAGAAGAATCCTCCAACTCCTTGAGAAAGTGTTTAGCAACCCTGATAGGAGACACACTGCACAAACTGAGTACTACAAGCTATACCAAGGCAAGAATACCTTTGCAACCTTCTAGGCTGAATTATAGAGACTTACAGCAGAGCTGGATTACTTAGAGGAGACCTTGCTTGACGATCTCTAATTCAAGATCAACTAAGGCCTGCAGAAAGCCTTGGTTGCTAAAGTAGGAACTACTACCTGTAATGGTGGGTGCACCAGATATGAGAATCTAGCCACCCAAGGAAGGGATGAATTTACTAAGACAACACACTGTCTTAGGAAACAGAGCCAAAGGGTTGTAGCTTAGACTATTCCACAACGCAGCAATCAGGTGTATGATGTGGTGAAGTGGTTTAGACAAGTTGCAACAAATGTTGAGTCTGAGAACTCAGGGGTAAGTCAGAGGTTAGCACCTCACTGACTTTTCAAAAACAGAGAATAACAAGATCAATGCTTGGAAGCTTGGAAAAGACGTAGAAGTATGTGCTAGTCGATTTACTGTATTGTCTGCTTGCCCTTTCTTAAGGAAAGGGCAATCCTATTTATGCCAAAGGAGTGTAGTTCTCTCATTTTCCATGACTTTCCATGACTAACCAGGCTTGGTAAATGTATTAGAAATCAAGTGCGACCCACAACTAGCTTGCTAATCATGTAGTGAACGTAAGAGAATCCCATTGGGTTCCTAGCCTATAGGAAGTGAAAAGGAGGTCCAAGGTCAGAGTACCTATAGATAAATTATGTCATAACTTAACCAATCTTGTGGGTAACTAAGGAGCGATGACGTGTAATGAATCATAGAGGGTTGTAGAAGCTTCTAGAGCTATCGTTCATGTTCCTAGGCCTCTAGTTGGTAGAGATATGCCATGTGGTAGTATTGGCCCACCCCCTTAAGGAGGATATTTTCTTAATAACTTGTTCAATGAGTGTCCAAATGATATGCTGTGATGTATGTAGCATAAACAGATGTAGTAGAAGAGTTTGCAGCAATCGTTGAGTAGTATTGCTTCTGTTGTTGGTGTGATAAGCCAAGATATGTATGGTGACTTGTAGGTTTGAGGAGGAGATTTCTAAGTTTGCTCTTGAGTTTGATAGCAAACTGAGTGCAACGAATGTCAGTATGACACTACCCTACTTGAATTCGTGAAGAAATGCATGCTTGTGGACCAAAACCTACAGAGAATTCAAGAAAAGGAGAAGAGAATGAAGTCATAGCCGTTCGCCTACTAGAAGCAGAGTGGCCAAAGCCCTACTGCTAGTACTGCTGTTAAAATAGTGGCACTATAGAAGAAGCTCTACCGCCCTCCCTACTAAGATCCTGAGAAAGAATCACTTATGAAGCTTGGCAAATGCTTCCATTGCTATGGAAGTGGTCATCGCGCTTGCGACTGCCTATAGAAGCAGAAAGTTAGAGTTAATGAGATATCTACTATAGAAGAGCATGCTTAATATGAGTCGGGAAACGAATAGCCTCTAGAGAAGACAGAGGTTCTATAGCAAGAATTGCCTCCTCTGTGTAACGGGTGCTGCCGTTACAGTACATGTGGTATATAAAGCGTGTTACGCGTATTCCGGGCGAGCCGGAATACTGTAGTCTTTTTGGCTCAGTGGGATGTAGCACGAGCATAACCGTACATCATTACACTCTGCCTCATCATTATCCCATTTCAACTATGACACTCCATTCTTAGCTACCTGTAGAATAGTAAGAAATCAAATTGTGGATAGCGGTGCAACAGGTGGCAGCTTTGTGAATGCTGTTGACGCAAAAAGAATTTGTGAAATTGAAAACATCTCTCCTATCAAACTTATAAAACCAAAGAACATTGAAGGATTTAATGGAGCTACTGCACTATAGTCACACATGCTATATACCCTCGATGTCATACTGACATTCATTGCACTCAGTTTGCTATCAAATTTAAGAGCAAACTTAGAAATCTCCTCCTCAAACCTACAAGTCACCATACATATCTTGGCTTATCACACTAACAACAGAAGCAATACTACTCAACGATTGCTGCAAACTCTTCTACTACATCTGTTTATGCTACATACATCACGGCATATCATTTGGACACTCATTGAACAAGTTATTAAGAAAACCTCCTCCTTAAGGGGGTGGGCATATCTCTACCAACTAGAGGCCTAGGAACATGAACGATAGCTCTAGAAGCTTCTACAACCCTCTATGATTCATTACACGTCATCGCTCCTTAGTTACCCACAAGATTGGTTAAGTTATGACATAATTTGTCTATAGGTACTGTGACCTTGGACCTCCTTTTCACTTCCTATAGGCTAGGAACCCAAGAGATGGTTCTATGGGATTCTCTTACGTTCACTACATGATTAGCAAGCTAGTTGTGGGTCGCACTTGATTTCTAATACATTTACCAAGCCTGGTTAGTCATGGAAAGTCATGGAAAATGAGAGAACTACACTCCTTTGGCATAAATAGGATTGCCCTTTCCTTAAGAAAGGGCAAGCAGGCAATACAGTAAATCGACTAGCACATACTTCTACGTCTTTTCCAAGCTTCCAAGCATTGATCTTGTTATTCTCTGTTTTTGAAAAGTCAGTGAGGTGCTAACCTCTGACTTACCCCTGAGTTCTCAGACTCAACATTTGTTGCAACTTGTCTAAACCACTTCACCACATCATACACCTGATTGCTGCGTTGTGGAATAGTCTAAGCTACAACCCTTTGGCTCTGTTTCCTAAGACAGTGTGTTGTCTTAGTAAATTCATCCCTTCCTTGGGTGGCTAGATTCTCATATCTGGTGCACCTCAGACTCAACATTTGTTACACTTGTCTAAACCACTCCACTACATCATACACCTGATTGCTGCGTTGTGGAATAGTCTAAGCTACGACCCTTTGGGTCTTTTTTCCTAAGACAGTGTGTTGTCTTAGTAAAATCATCCCTTCCTTGGGTGGCTAGATTCTCACATCTGGTGCACCCACCATTACACCTAGGACACGGTATACCCCTAGGTATGCTGCTTTCACTTACTCCGAAAACTCTTAGCTAAGCGACAATAAGCGGAACGCAAATAGCGTTAGTAGCTAAGATCAACTATAGGAGGCAAACGCTACAAAAATAGCTACTCCACTCGCTCTATACGCTACAACAACTACAGACAGTGTAGGGGGGTCCCATATGACCTTCCTATACTAGGTCTAGAAAGCTAAGGGGATGTGTTGTAAAATATAAACTGACTTGAACCTACGAAAGTGTGGGCGTTCCACTTTTGCCTAGTTCAATGGTTTTTAACACAATGTCGCGGACGTCATCCGTAGCTGGCTTACACGTTCTACTTCCGGAAGGTGACGATAACACTACACATAACCTTGTATATCTAGAGTATTGTGTGATATTACTATTCTACTACTTGCCTCAACTCTACTTAGTTGCTACGGGTGGTTACGGGCGCTTACTAGGTTTGGATGTCGTAATATGTTTACGGGTTTAAACACACGACCACTTACGGCAGGCAGTCACAAACCGGCGTACCACAAATCCAAATGACCGCCGTAATTGAGATGTCTCAACATGCAGGTAAAGTAATCATATCAACACACAGCGAAGTCAACAGGGAAACAGAGGAGAGAAGCATCGAACACAAGAAACCTGCCCCCGAACAAAGCTTCATTTTGTCTGGTTCTAAGAACAAAGCCTAAGCCTATGCCCATTTGCGATCCGTAGGCCCTCAAACCCGACAGCAAACCGCCAACCCCCGATACCCAGACCAGCAGCAATCTGACGACGATGGCCACCTCCAAAAAATGCCTAGCTAAGGAGACACTGACCAAAATCCACGACTAAACAAGCAAACCGCTGCCCACTTCTGCATTTCCTTCCCAACTCCCGAAAGCCAATTGTAGCTCCATATCATAGCTGAACCCCCCCCCCAAACCCGTCCAGGCAGCCTACCTAGCGACAAAAAAAGAGACGCCCATTCAGACTGACGCACAAACAGCTGACCACGCGCAGACCTAGATCTCTGACCTAAACCCTGCCGTTTCGACGGCGGCGGCACCGCGCGACTGAGGGAGAAATCAGTCCCCCTTACGAGACTATGAGCCTCCACCGGTTTACCAGGGCGATTATTGATTCTCTTGCTCGTGAGCTCGTAGAAGTCGTCTCGCTCGAGCTGCTCATAATCCGGCACAACCAGGAACATCTCCATGAAATCCACGAGGCGCGCCTTGGTATACGGACTCTCAACTTTCGCGCTCGGGTCCGATTCCCAGTCGAGGAAGAGCTTGGCGCGCGCGCGGAAATGAGAGTAGATCCCCTCCATGTAGCATTGCCCGAGCGCGCTGCTGCGGATAATGTCGACGTAGTGGTGCAAGAAGGTGAGGGCTTCGAAGAAGTGGTCGGGGGGGAAGACGGCGAGGAAGTGCTGTACTAGCGCTTTCATGCTGACGCAGACTTTGAGGCTTGAGGTTACTTTTTTCTTGTATGGCAGTCCTGACATGCGACTGTGGGGATGATAGTAGGGCCGCATGTGGGGGGAGAGACCCTTCATCTCCGACCTAATGGCAGCGTCGAGCTTTCCTCCTTCCACTGCACCGGCGTCTTCGTCGTCGAGGGTGACTCCGTCTCCAGCAGCCGCCGCCCTACGGCGTTTCCTCGAACTGCGAGACGGCCTTTCGTGCCTGGTCTCCCTTTTAATATATGTGAAGTCATCTTCTTCCTCATATTCTCCATCTTCCTCGTCGAAATAGCCCTCGTCGACATAGCCCTCGTCGACATAGCCCTCGTCGACATAGCCCTCGTCCTCGTTGAAGTCATCTCCGAGCTGAGACGAAGAGGAAACAACTCGTGCCACTTAACCCGCGACTGTTCCTGGGGAGGAGGTGTCGGGAAAGGCGGCTGCTGTAGTGCACGACTATGATGAACAAAGTAAAAGACGAAGCAAAACAGATCGTTACAGGGGAGTGAATGTGAAAAACAGCTGTAGAACTAGAGTAACAGTGAAATAGTCAAAGGAAACACACAAAGTAAAGTAATTACTTCCTATATACAAGGAAGCTGTCCTTTCTTTAGCCTTTATAGTTAATGTGAAAAGTCCCCTCAGAGAGTTAAATGCTGGAGGCTGAAAAAAAGGAACGTCGTATATCCTCTCACTTGGGTTGGTGGGCCCATATGGAGAACTGACATCATCCCGAAACTCCGACGTGCGTGTGCCTCAAGGTACTACTTTTGTTGAGTACGACTGTTGATTGCTGTACTATTCCGAGAACTTTGTAAGAGGCATAATGAACAAATACAGAGTAATAATTAGAAGTAATCACCCATTATATAGAGCCAGTAGAATATGATATATGTGGCTTCATATGTCAGAGCTGCGTGGCATCTGCGAGACCATAAACTTCCACGTATGGTCGCGGGTCGTGGGTCGCGGGTCGCGCTTTCAGATTTAGGGAGTCTCGGCGCAAACATCCATTAAATTGGCCTGGAGACCAACGACAGCCAACAACCACCGACCGTGGTCTACTGTACGATTAAATTACTTTCATGTTTCAATTGCAATCTACCTCTCATATTGCTTGATGCTTGGGCTTGAAGGCATTGCTATAGATGCTTTGGTTACGAGGGTAAGGGAAATTGACAGTTGCAGATCGACCAGAACTCTCTGGGCTCAGGAGTTGAAAGCGCAGGCATGGCCAAACACGACGACACATCCATATCCCATGACGCGGAGTCCTGCGAATCTATCGCCGGCTGCAAGCTCTACGAACATCCGGCGGCATTCCGACATTCGGGTCTCCGCACCGAACTCAACACCGATGGCTCAACCACAACAGATTTACGGCCGACCTTCAAGGACTCCAGCCAGCCCACAACACCACGCCACGCAGAGCTACGTGAGGCGGACGACTATATGAATGGGGGCCTCCCGCACGAATTTTTAGGGACCCCACCGCCCATTGCCTCTACAGAAGCATCCGCAATCTCCCGGCCATCGAGCATCAGACAAATCTCCGCTGCACCAAGCGTCAGGGGAAACGGCGCTATCTACAGTGGGAACGGCACACAGACGCCTCCTGGCCGAAGAAGTGTACAATTCGCAAGGGCCGATTCGGGGGATATAGCAATACCGGCGCGATGGGATGTCTCTGATGCGGACGGAGATCCGCAGGGCAAGGGCATATCTCTCATGTCTAAACTGAGAGCTCTGGCGATAACAGGAGGATTGAATACACACACGGAGCAAAAGCACGGGTAATGTACAATCTTACGCTGGGGGGTCGTTGTCTGCACCGCACTCGCCGACCGCGGAGAGATTTGGCTCATCGATTGGGGTGCCTGGGACCCTGGAGGAGGAGGGCAGTGATGCCGATGCCGATGCGGAGCAAAGCCGATGAACAAACCGTGGACGATGCTGCACGTGTGAAGAAGAAGCGTCGATACCGCAGGCCGCCGTGGGGAAGCCTGCAAATCGACCAGTCAACCTCAGCGGAAGCGGGCGCATCGTCTAGCAGGATGAGACGCCGAAACACCATGCCTGATGATCTCGAAGAGCCTCGTGGCGGCGTTTCTGAAGGAGAAGGAAGAGATAGACTGGGCATGGGATCTGCTTGGAGAAAGGGGAGCTCATGGGTGTCGGGAGGACGTGGCCATAATTACTCGGG